TGGTAGTGAGGGAAATTAGAGGGGGTCTAAGCATAGGGTGCAGAAGTGAGCAAGATGATAAGTGTGTCATTTCAAGGGGTGTGTGTAATCCCCTTAATATTTATTGGAGTCATGGGATGCTTAGAAGGGTTGGGTTTTTGTCATTAAAAGCCGAAAGGTCTAGCCCAATAAGGGATGGACCTAATGTTCTCTTATGCACACTTGTAATTCTCTTATGAACACTTGTATCCCCATAGTAGATAAGGTGAGAATAGCCACATTACACACAGAGACACACACAGAGAAAAGATAAATTGCTGATAAGTGTTGATAAGATAAATTAACATCGGATTTGGGTCAACTGTACATGTATTATAGGGAAGGTCCAGTGTGAGTTCTACATTGTAGATTTATGTCATCAAGTTCATTCTAATATAGTCAATCTAGAGCTAACTGGGTTGTTGATGTACTTCCAATATTCTATATATTAAATGTCAAATTGAGCATGTAATTAATTTAAATGTAACCAAAAGATATAGGAATTATGATTAAATTGTTGATTCACTCTTAAAGAGTATTTTCATAAAAATTCTTGTGTTTTTATAGAGACTTAGAGCCATTGAAAAAAGAACAAGTTGAAGAACTCATGAGGAAGCAACAAAAAGCACCACCACATTATTTAACCACTGTCTCACCGCGCCATCAGCGCCAAGAGTGGCACTTGAAGCATCAAGTCCACTTTCACATCCATGTCAATAGCGCCATAGTGGCACCAAAGGCGCCAAATCTCCCGAAGCAATTCACTCTCTGTTTAATTTATAGAGATTTGTTTTACGTGTCTTAATTTTTTTTTATTGTTTTAATAAATGCGGACTCCATAAAATATTGTGTGTGTAGAAGATTTTTTTGTGTCATGTCAAAGAACAAACTAAAACTCCTTTAAACTATCCATACAAAGGTGAATCAATGATAATAAAAGAGGAGAGAGAAAAAATATTAAAATAGGTAATTACGAAATCATTAATGTTGAATTACCTTTGTATGGTTGTGATCTTTCACATAACTATGTCATTTTTTATTTCACATGAAAAGATTCATTTCCAGTCTATACATAACAAATATTTAAGTTCAAACATTCTTAACAACTTCAATCTTATCGGAAGTAACAGTAAATCGAATTTGAAACTTCCTTTCAACAGACAGGATATATATATTCATTTTATGTGTAGATAAAAAAAAAAATGCAGAGGACAAGTGGCATAGCAGCTAAATGTCTTTTGTATATGAGTTATACCTTTTATTTTGTGATATTTATTTTATTTTTATTGAAATATTTTGTGATATTTTAGTGTAAAAGGGATGCGACGATTGGCTAGGTAATGGCTGGTTCAACGGTTTTATGATTAGTTTTTAAGTCAATGATTTAAATACCTTTTATATTATGGTAATTGCTTATTGACCGGTTTAACGGGTTAATGATTTAAATGGCTTGACCTGAATCATGTCGGTTGATTATTGATCGGTTCAACGATTCTATAACGGATTCTTCATTCAATGGTTTGAATGGCTTGATAGAACTGGAACGTTTACCGGCCGGTTCGGTCTAATTTTCAGATAAAATGATCATGTATAATAATTTTATAAGAATTTATTAATCTCATATTCTATAACGGAGTTTTTTTATTTTTATTTTTATTTTTATTTTATAAAAGGTGAACTCCACGTGTTTATTTCTATGATATAAAATAAAATATCTTCAATAATATGAGAAAATATTTTTTTAATTTTATAATATGGTAATATGGGATTGTACTATTAGCCTTATGGCTGCTATAAGCTAACCCTTAATTTTATTGTTAAGAATTATGGAAGGCCAACTAGGATGTTGTCATCTTCTTTTATTAGGTATCTGTTGGAAAATAAGAATCTTTAGAAGTGGTCCTGTCTTTGGAATTCATTACCAAATGTCCATTTTGCACTCCAAAAGGATCTGTCATGTTTACATAAAAATGCTGTCTTATAAATTTCATAGGAGAGCCAGTTAGGATTCAAACCAAGATGCCTTGTCTTGTACCCACCCAAAAAATGTGGGGTTTCCATTTGTTGTTCACTAAATGATAGGGTGATAAAGACGGTGTTATCTATGCACATGCAATGTCTATTGTGGTGTCCACTGTCTCTTGTTTAAATCATTTTGTATATTATTAAATATAAGCAATTGGGAATGAGTAAATAACGGTTATTAATAAAAGAAATGAGATAATGAGTATGGAGAATTTTAAATAATTTAAACTACTGCATATTATAATAAAAAAAATTTGGCAACACCCAATTTCAAATTGTTTTTGGGTTGGCCTTAAATGACATTTTGTGTCCTTCTTTAAAGGTGCACTAGCCCACCGCGTGGACCTACCCAACGGTTCCGCGCTACCTTATTTTTTTTCTTCTTATTTTTCATTGAAAAAACACTGGATGTTCTTACTCTTATTATGTACATATGTATGGTCAGTCATAACAAATAAATTAATAAATATTTTTTACTAAAATTAAGAAAATGAGTTCGTTCTTATGATATAAGATGCATTCATGCTTAAAAAGAAAAAAAAAATGAATTGAAAAAAATATTCTTTACCGTTTTTTATAATTAAATTTATTAATTTATAATAAAAGATATTTTGAGTTTAACGTTAATTAACTGATTATGAAATTTTTACAGCCACTTCGTTAAAAAAATTGATTATACTAACAGTTATTAATTTATAAAAAATACAATTTAATCTAACTTATGGTCATTAAGGTTATATGCACTTTGATTTTATGTAAGAAAAGTTTATTTTATTTAGATTTCTTCACGTGTTTATCGGATCAGGTAGGATACCAAGAGCGATAAAAATCTCTTTATCAAAATTTTAACACAACTAAATATAATGGTTAAAGTCCCCGTAATAATATATCTCCCTATAAAAGAAAATGTATTTAGCTCATAGAGGCTAGTACACTTTCCTTTTATTTATCTTACTTAAAAATCTAGTGATGATTTTTATTATGAAATTTTGAAAGACAATTTTCATCAATAAAGTACGTTCGTGCATATATATATATAAAGTACAATGTGCGTGATACTAAGTACAATGTCACATTCAAATTACATGATATTTATGTATTAAAGTTTTTTGAGGAAAAAAAAATTAATTTACCCCTTCGATTTATGTTTTGGTACACTTTAATTCTAAAAGTTAAATTATGACAATTTTTATTATTTTTTGGTAAAAATTACACACTTTAAAAGGTTTACTGCCTGAACTAGACGTTTTTAAAACTTGAAAATCAATAATATACATGATACTAAGAGCTCGTTTGGATGAGTTTTTTTTCTTCAAAAACTGCTTTTTTTAAGAAAAAAAAGCACTTCTCGAAAAATTTCTGTTTGTATGCATGCTTTTAAAAAAAGCAGAAGTCATAAAAAAACCAAAAACTTACTTTTTTTCGAAAGCTAAAAATTTTAGCTTCTTAAAAAAACAGAAGTCAAAAATCAAATATTTTTTTCAAAAATCAAATATTTTTCTAAAAATCTAAATAACTATAGCTGTTATAAAAAATATTTTTAAAATAAGGAAGTGATAAAAAGAACTTTATTAAAAAGTGAATACAAACGGGCCCTAACTTATCTGAAAGTAAATTAAAACATTTTATTTTAGAATATTAAATTAAAATACATTAAAAAAATTTGCTATCAAAGTATTCTAATCATACTTATTAAGAAATTAAAAATGAAATTATTAAATAAAATATGTAATATTTTAAAAAATTAAAAAAACTTATTTTATTTAAATTTTTTATTATTTAATTCATTAATGCATAACATATCCTTGAGATATATCCTCCAAAAAAACAAAAAATCCTCGAGATATTAGTTAGAAAACCCTTATCAAGTAGTGGCATTGACTTGAAAATCGGGCTGGATTCCAAATCCAATTCAGGAGTCAATTATTATTTAGTTATTATTTTTTAGGGTTTAACTTTTCTTATGTTGTAGGATTGTAGAAGAGAAAAAAAGTAGAGAGAAGTTAAATGTGAGTCCCATATTTTATATTCAAAAAGAAAATAAAAATTAATTGGCACGGAAAACGAATTTGTGTAAAAAAATGGTGTAATCTCATGTAACATGAGAGTATTATTTTCCTATTTTTTAACGGAAAATCAAATATTTGGTGATATAAATATGTGACGTAAATGTGGGGTCTCGTATAATTCGGGGTAGTCTTCATTGTTCGCATTCAAACTTCAATTTGCTTTCTCTCACTTTCCATTTTCAAACTTTTCAATTAATTTAATTTAAAGTGACTTCGTCCCCACGAAACTCATATTTCCTCAATCCTGCAATTACCACAATACCCATATAAATATCTGCTAATAATTTAAACGATAATATATATATATATATATATATATATATATATATATATATATATATATATATAAAGTTATGTATCGTTTCAAAGAGCATAAAATTAGATCAGTTTAAGATAAAGAAAACAAAAATCAAGGGAAAAAAGTGGTTTTTTTTTTCTCTTTTCCTTTGATCTATCTTTATAATTACTTAAATTTTTTATCATGTGAAGTGTTATTGAATTAATATTTTTACTGTCGAAAGTGATTGTAATTGATTATTCTTGATAAAGGTTTTCTCTGTTTAATTGATTATTTAAATAATTCAATTTGAGTTAAACATGAAGCTGCTTTAACATATGTAAATGTAGGACTTCAATTTGAAATATTAAACTGGAACAATTTCATATTAATTAATTCACGTGTTAATTATTTATTTATTTATTTTCTTTTTACTCATTGGCTGCGCGAGACAACAAAGCCTAACCTCCCCCACCTCACTTTTTTACCCTATTCGTCTTAGTTTGTTTGAAGGGGGCAATATAGTCATTTCACGTCACCAACACCTTTTATATTGTCTTCCTTCTCCGACTCATTAGCCTTCAATCTTTTGGGATTTCATTTGCAAAGGATTCATTTTTTTCCTTTTGCCATTCGTTTTTTTCCTTCTCCCAGGATCAAAAGGCCAATTTTCTGTTTTCAAATTATTAGATTTTGAAAGGTTTTTAATTATTGAAACCTCGCAAGCAAAAATTCACGTTGAACACAAAAAAAAAAAAAAAAATCATTTTGAATTGTTCTATTAAAAGTTGTTGGGATAAAAAAAAAATTGGAAATTTTGATTCATTTTGAGCTAATTGGATCGTTTGTTCAATTGGGTTGTCGAATTTGAGGGAGATAAATTGTGGGTATCCAAGGATTTTTGGTTCTGTGTTGTTGTTGTTGTTGGGTTGTGTTGTGCTTCGGTGAAGGTGGATTATTTTGTTTTATCGTGGTGGTGATTGAAGGGAAACGGTACCGTCTGGTTGTGCTAGCTGAAGAGAAAATGGGGACTTGGGATTGTGGAAACGACAGAGGAGGGATGGACTACAGGTTTTGTGTGGCCGCTGGGGGCGATTTGTGGGTCAGCGTTGGCGAGATCGGTGGCGGTTTCAGCCATGAAAGTGAGCACGATTTGGCGCTGATGGTTAGTGATTTCTTAGAGAATGGAAGTAGTGGCGCTGAGTCTTGGTGCAGCAGTGACAGCGATTCTGGTCTCTCTGATTTTGCTCACCTTGCCGAGAAGATTCAGGTAATTATTTAAGAACCCCTTAAGTTTCTTTTTTTTCCCCATAATTTATTGTTAAGAATAATGTTGTTGTTGGTGTTAATGGTGGCAGAAACAGAAATGGAAATTACTTTTTCTTGTTTCTACCCTTTTTATTCTCTTCAAATTGATGGTTTTGGAAGTTTAAATGTGAACTTAGAAGTTGCTATAGGTGATATGGTATGGTAGCATATCTGCATAGATACTCTTGTTTACACCTTGTAATAATTTCTTTACATTTTGTTTTTATTTCCTGACCGCATATTATAGCTTCATTTTGGAAGCATAATCTTCTCTGATTATATATATATATATATCGTTAATCTTAAGGTCGCACCTCTGCTCTAAATTATAATTTATAAGCTATATATAATAGCATACAGACTACGTTTACCATCCCCATCCTTTTATGCCTTGAATAAAGGAATTGATTCCAAGATGCAAAATTTCTAGTATTACAACAACAACAACAACAAAAATCTGTTTGCTGGTGTATAAGTATTTATATGATTTTGGTGGTTCTACTTGATGTATTTATGAATCATGTAGTTATGGGCCGTGGGTTACTATCATAGAGTTTAGAGAATCCAGCTGCTTAAGTAGGATGTCCTGCCACTTTTCGATGAGTATAGTTGCAAGCAGTTTTTACTCCTTTCTCAATTATTTTAAACAAGGGACATTGGATTTTTGCAGAAAAAAAGGACACTAAATAAGAAGAATTACCTTTCTATAGTTCAATGTATAAGGAAATGATTTCCTGCTAACATTTACTTTTGATACATGATATTTTTCAACTTCCCTGACTTTCTTTTATGTCTCGTGGCACAGATCTGTAAGCTATCGGTGACTCAACATGAGAGTGACTTGCTTTCAGTTGTTCATTCTCTCTTACGATCAATGAATGAGACCAACCTTCAAGTTATGAATTCTGGTCCATGTTATGCTAACTGTATCAGGTTTTATCTGGTGAAGTTGATGAGACTTGCTGGCTATGATGCTGGTGTTTGTGCATCTAAATGGCAGGGTAGTGGCAAGGTCCCTGGAGGTATGCCATAGTCTAACTTTTTAATTTTACCAAAATTATGTTTCTACTTTTGCTTCATGGACTGCACATCCATAATTAAGCTGCCCCCATTGGTTTGCTTGCATTGCTAAATAAGAAACTTTCTGTGTTGTCTGCATCAAGTGCTTTTTACAATGTTAAGTAATATTATGACTATCAAGAGAGAGTGAAATGGCATATTTTGGATTTAGTCTTGTGTGTGCCACTATTTTATGTTTCCATTGTCTCAACTTGCTCATGTTTTTGCTTATGTTTCAATAAATGTTCGCTCGTTTAAACTTGTGGCACAGGTGATCATGAATATATTGATGTGGTGGTCAACACTAATTCTGGAAGCTCAGAGCGATTGATTATTGATATTGATTTCCGAAGCCACTTTGAAATAGCTAGAGCTGTTGATTCATATGATAGGATACTGAATTCGCTTCCGGTTATTTACGTGGGTTCCTTGATCAGGCTGAAACAATTTCTTGGAATAATGGAGGAAGCTACTAGATCCTCTTTGAAACAGAATTCTATGCCTCTTCCTCCATGGAGATCTTTAGCATATTTGCAAGCCAAGTGGGAATCACCCTACGAAAGATATACACATTCAGAAGGCAATAATATCAGCGACGGCAATTTCTTCGATCACAAGCAATGCTTTGGACATTTGAAGAGGCTGCAATCTTGTCTTCAGTTGGGAATGGAAGCAGAGAGAATGTTGAAGCCTAGAAACAGTGAAAGTAACAGGAGGATGAAGCCTGACAGGTGGAGGCACTCATTGTTCCGGCCTATTTGACATTTACAGATTTTGGCTTTGAAGTTCCCAAGAGACTGAGTGAAAAAGATACAGAATTTTGCGGCTTTCTTTTCCCTCTACGAAATCTTCTCCTAGCTTCCTAATAAGTCTGAGACATTCACAAACGACAGACAGGTTCATATAGGCACCCTTTGCAGCAATAAGCCATTTTATAATGCTTCAATTCTTTGTTTCTTTTCTCTGTGTTTGAGATGTTACACTTGTAGAGTCTAAGTTAGGGTGCCCAGTGAGAGTCCAAGGTATTGAGTTTTTGAACTGTAGCCGAAGCACAGTACTGGGTATCCTGTAACATCTGATAATTTATTCCTTGCCTCTTATATTTTTTGGGTCTGGGAAATTTTGGTACTACATGTTCTCTTCCAATCTTTCAATATATTCATTCTTGTCATGATGAATAGAAGTACTCTTTCAATTTTCCTTACCTTATATGTTACCGTAACTTCTAATGATGATTGTTTTGGATTTTGCGTGCTCAAAAAAATAAGAACACAGCTTTGGAACATGCTGTATTTTCGGTTACATTTGTGCTAGCTTTTGAATTTCTGTTGCTTGAAATTTTGATTTAAAGCTTGTTCCCTTACATTGCTTTTATTTCTGTCTTGTAGCTCTCAATAGCTTTATCCCCTCTCGTAATATGTGTGATTGCAATTTGCAACCAAAGTAAAAAAATAAAAAATAAAGCTAGAATCTTCAAGTGTATTTTGGTCTAAATTGGCTGCGTTTGTCGAACCAACTTGGACACGTGAAAAATGAAGCTTGAATCTTCAAGTCCATTACGGAGATATTATTTTATGGGTAAAAGAATTTCTCTAGTCAATGAATCCGGTGAGCCTAAAACAACTCAAAACGACGTTGTTTTGAGATGAAAATCAAGATGTTTTTGTAATTATAATATATTGCAGAGTTATATTGTTTTTATTATTATAATTTTTTTAATCTTATAATTTCAAAACGACGTCGTTTTGAGTTCATTGGAGATAATTTTATTTCTGATGACTGAAGAAATATTTTTTCCTTATAACTTAAACAAAGATAATGATTGCGATAAAATGGGTATCCAAACTGATCTGCTCCAATTCAACTTGATGGGTCATATCTTTTTCTGATCCAAATAATAACTATGCATCGGGCTAGTATGGGGTTTTCAAAAACCCATTGGGTTTCTGGGTATTCATATCATCAGTTAATTTGAAATTAATAATAAATAAATACACAGCTAGAGGCAAAAAGATCCCTTAAAATTTTTACCCTTACCGAAATGTTGATTAATCTAACCGTATATATGGAAAGAGATGTCATTATTATGCTGAATTCACCCAAAAATGGTAGAGCCACGTGCATTAGATTACTCTTCCTTTTTCACACACTTGGTAATAGACTTTCTTTCTTACTAGCAAGAAAAAGGAAAAGTAAATTTGCAAAGAAATAAGAAATACAGAAAATTCATGGGAAGAAATATGAGTGGCTGGAATAAATTTATTATTTATTATCTTTATGAATATATGTATTTATCAAAAATTTAATTATTTTATTTTTTATTCAATAGCATAACTCTTCAAAAATGAATCTCTGAGGTGCAATTGCCAAATATGTAAGTGGGGCAAGTCTACAAATTTGGTCTGGGAATGAAATAAATAAACGTATGCAGTCTTTAACGTTCTTGCGTGGAGTTAGTTGTGGACATTTGTCCTATCATCCTCAATGTAATAAAATATTTGAAACATTTGTCCTAAATCGGTTTTTCTTCTTTCTTTTTTTTTTGGTAAAATTTTTTTGTTGTTGATAAAAACTCTTGAGTTAAATCATATTCATATTTTATGATGAATATGATTAAAAGTAAGGTGAAAACAATAAGGTATTTTAGATTAGTGTAGTTCGTTTATGTAATTTAGTTGCATCTTATAATGATCTCATGAAGTTAAGTGGTGATAAACATTGATGGTCTCATGATCTCATCTCAACGGTCTAGAGCTAAAAGCTTAGAAGTATATAATATTTGCTATCATTGAAAATCAATTTATTTTTTTGAAGCTCATAGATAGTTTTCTTATGTGAATTTTTATTAATATAAGTAATATTTTTATATTTTTAATATGTGAACAGTAAAACCGGTTGAACCCGGTTGAACCAATGACCCAGTGACCCAGTACCTCGACCGGTTCGATGACCGGTCCGAGTTTTAAAACACTGGTCTCATCTCTTTATGTCTATCTCTTTCTTAAAAGGACTTAAATTTGTGTCTTTTAAAATGACATACACTTATCTCTTAAAATAAAAGGGTTTAAGTTTATAAAGTTACTTTAAATAACTTTATCTAATATTTATCAAAATACATACAAAAAAGTGTGTGAAATTCATATGAACCCATATGAAAAAAAAAAAAAAAAAAAATATGAAATCCACATATTTTTATATGTGTATTTTAGTAAATATTAGATAAAATAATCTAAACTAACTTTATAAACTTAAAATAAACGAACCTGTATAGTGTATTGTTACGGTTATATTTTCTGTAAGACTGTAACTGCTGGGAATGTACTTTCTGCCTAGGAAAAGACATACTGCTATCTTTTGCTTATCCGTTGCATGACTCTTGATTCAAACCTTGTTCGTTTAAATTGTCTTATTGTCTATTAACTTATTACTGAAAAAACATGGTAGAAAGTTATTCATGGTGTACGATTAAATCTGATTGACAGCAATTGATCTAAACTTATGTGGGGTGTATCTGCACAGAAAAATTACCATCCAGATCCAGGTAAGGTTGATTTAGAATTCGAGAGTATAAAAAAGAGAGAAAATTAAAATCCCAGATAACCATCATTCAGCCATTCAAACCAAAACTTAGGATAAACAACATAAACGTCTTGAAACATGTTGAAACACAGAGAATTACAGATACAATATATTGCTTAAGCTTAACTCTTATAGATAATGAAACCTACAAAGAAAACATTTAAAGCTACTTGAATTTCAAAGCACTCCTGTTCTGACTTAGCAAATAAGCATTCCCTGCAGTAAGCATAGCACAAAGAAGATTTGTTTAACATATGGTTCTCAGATTATAAAAGCAAATCAGTTATGTAAATTAATTACCTTTTGATCTACTTGTCAATTACAACCACCCCACATTTTTCCAAGACAGCTACCACCTGTCGCTGGGTTTCATAGAAATTCCCATTTGGATCATAATAGTACTGCACAAAAATGTATAGATTTCTATGTATTAAATAAGGCTTTAATAGCTCTACTGTTCCTGCAGATTAGAAATTTTGCAGCAACACTTATTTCCACTAGGATACGTTTCGTATTCTGGAATTTTTTTTATTCCAAAATCCGACTCGGTATCTTAATGTTAATATATTTGCTACAACTTTTTTCCATTTGCAGCCACAGCAGAAACGAGGCATCTTTAAATAATGTTACAATAGATCAAAACTAGTATATCACATATAAATCAATGTAAGATGATGTCCTTGCTACAACTCCCATTATGTTATCACAATTTATAAACAAAAATATTAAAAAACGATCAAGAAGGTGGAATCAAAGAGGATGATTACCCTGTAGATTCTGCCACGCTGTGTGTGGCGTTCTTCAGCAACCCATCCTGGAAGCAACCATCCATAGCCAATTGAAGTCATGTCATGAAAGGTGCACTTAGTTCCATGTTGCAACCTGTCTCGAGGGTTTACTTTCTTTATTTTGTCTATGGTCTTCCTTGTCAACTCAGAGATATCTTCAGTGTCGCTCTTCCTCTTTCCTTTTCCATTGCTTTGCTCACCAGGCTCCATTGTTGAGATTTTACAGCTCAGAGTTAAAATTGAAACTGTTGTTACGCTCAGAGTGCAGTGTGCCTTTATATATGTGATACATATGTCACGAGAAAATATTGATTATTTTAAAATTTTATTTTATTTGTATAAGTTTTTTTTAAGTATGCTTTAAACCGAAACGTCACGAGTTCGAATCCGAAAAACAATTTTTGTGCTCATACCATAATAATATATATGTCTTATTAACATATGGGTTTTATAAGAGTTATGTTGTAGGAAAAGTGATTGTGTTATGTTATAGAGATTCGTTTTGCGTGCCGAAGTTCTTTTTTGCTGCGGGTCCCACAAAATGTTGTGTGTGTAGGAAACTTTTTGTGGTCATGTTAAATGATAGATGATAAACCCTTAACATATATATCCAATGTAGTCTTCTAAAATCAGATTTTACTATTTGTGCTCACACCATAATGTCAGAGCAAAACAACCATTAAATAAGGGAATTGAAGAGCACAATTTGCAAACTACACAGATCAAAGAGCAAATTAAACTTAAAGATCAGCAGTAAAGAGTTTCTAAGTAACAGTGAGTTTCTCTGCTGACTAGTCGAATTTAAACAACAGAAATTAAAAAGTTTCCCCAGCAAAGATTGCTGAACTTGATGAATAAAGTTTCACTGAGCTTCATTGGGATGGAATAACTTCATCAACAAAAGCAAGGTATTCAGGATCACTAAGCCAAAGCATTGCAAGATGAATTGGGGAAGTGAAAAGCCTATGGACCTCTTCAACATTCCATATAGTGGCTTCAGCGTTGCTCCATTTAAATAAGGAATCCAATGGCTTCTCTTCATCTTCACTGCCAAACCTTGATTTATCCCATTGCTTACAAAGCATGTGAGTAAGATAATGCAATGGCTGCCCATACATGTTCTTCAAGGTTTTGGCCAAACCTTGCCAGTTAACAAGCACAGCTTCTGTCAGACGAGCTCTTGGAATAGGCATTTTCTTCATGTACTTTTGGTATTTCTTTGCAAGCTCTACTAAAGCATCTGCATTACAAAATAATTATTTTCTTTCAGGTGTTTTTGATATTCCATTACTATATATATATATATATATATATATATATATATAAAATGAGTTTTATAAAAGTTATGTTATAGGAAAAGTAATTATGTTATGTTATAGAGATTCGTTTTCCGTGCCTTAATTAGTTTTTTTTTTTTTTGCTTCAAAAAATGCGAGCCTCACAAAATATTGTGTGTGTAGAAAAAATAATTGTATCATGTTACATGATGAATATAAACCCCATAAATAATAAGATCATTTTACAACAGTATTAAACTAAAAAGTTTGATAAAACTTTTTGTCTCTTACAGTTAATTTCCGCCGATATATTTGTCTCTTAATTGTGGTATTTTAATCTCTAACATTGAATTTTGACTTTTCTTTTTTATCAAAATCTATTGAATAAAATTGATTACAATTTGGGTAGGATTCACAACAAAGAGTGCCTCATAATCATTCTTCCAAATAATAGTGAGTAAAAAAATGTATAACGCGAGTGTCAGGTGGAGTCAAACTATTTTTTAGGGTGAAAAGTTGATAATTTTAAATTGATTAAAAAAAGGAAAAAAAATGTTTGTCATTTTAAATCCTAACAGTTGATTTTTGTCAATCAGCGATTAGGATTTATTGGGTCAAACTAATTAATTAATTATTAATTCGTAATAAATTCTAATAAATCCTGATCATTGATTGACGCAAATCAACGATTAAGATATAAAATGACACAAAATTATATCTTTAAAATGACAAACGTTGTTCCCGAAAACAAAAAAACAAAAAAATTTGGGGTGACGAGTTAATAGAAGATTCTAAGATTTGAAATCCAAGTCATCACTTGATTCTGCCACCAATGCGTGTCAATATCAATGCTACGTAGTACGTACATTAACTCTTTATAACCAAGTAGTAAAGAGTAACTTTAATGGTTTCATGGGTAACAGAATGAAGAGTATTTTCTCATAATGAAATGGTCTGGTACATGAGTAAGCATTTCCATAAGCCTAGTATAATTTTATTTTTGTAAGAAAAAAAAAATGTTAATGACCTTGTGCAAGGGGAGGAAAATGTGTTAAGTAAATTCGCTTGGGAATTCAAATAATTTTTGAAGAGATACGGTGTCATTTAAGTTGAAATTCTTTATACAACTATACGATTGAAATTCATTTGAATATTTAAAGAAACATTTTTTTATCAATTTAATCTTTGAAAGTTTAAATCCTCAATCATTTAAAATCTCTGTGTATAATTGAATTACAGTTGTACTTAACATAATCAAGATCTTTAATTATTACATTTGATGAATATATATATAAAAAATTGTAATAAAAAAATACGGTAGAAAAGTAGACATCAAAGTGTATAGCAAATGGATATAGTTTTTGCTAATTACCTCGATCAACACTTGGTTTGGACTTGAATGGTTTTGCCGCTTCATCTGGTGAAAGCTTCTTCCCCTTCCCATTCTTCTTGCTCCTAAGATTTCCCCTGTCGACTGTTGACCCTTTTTCATTTCTCTCCCTTAGCCTTGAAATGTTTTCATCAGACTCAGTTTCAGAGTCTGACACCAACATATGTTTGTAGCTCGCAGGACGATAGCGCCGTAACATTTTGAGGTTGTTCAATATGTTATGGCTTTTGGTAATGAGATGTGTAACATTATATTAATATATGGGTTTTATTAATCTCCTTCCACGTAAGATAATTATCTTATGTGGTAGAGAGAAAATGAGTGGGTCCCACAATTACAAGAAAAAAGAAAAAGAAGAAAAAAGTGGGGTGCGAAAATCGATGTGAGAGAAAATGAGATAAGTTACCTCATGTAAAAGGAGAGTAATATTTCCCTTAATATATATACCCTGAGGATGTTGGCAAATGCTTTGTATTGCCCATATATGGCTAGTGATCTTAATTTGCAAGGTTTCCATTTTGCTTAATTAATGTATTCCTTATGAGTTTATGACACTTATCACTTTGATTATCAACAAAGTTATAAACATATTGCAGTGAACCACCGTGTATATTTGTAAATTGATGTTTTAAGTGGGAGGAGCAGTTAATTAAAGGAGCTTATATATAACCAATTGGTGTATGGGATAAAAACAGTTGGGGGTTAGAGCATGTGTTCGATTTATTCCAATATCATCTTTGAGAGATGTTTAAAATCTTAATCATGAACCCACCTCGAATCAAACTAGTTACGAAGCGATGAACTGATTAGAATATTTTCAGGAAAAAAAAAAAAAACTTATACGTAATTTTTGAGAAAAAATACGTCTCTGTACTCTAGTTGGAAAATTTTAAAAGATGAGGGGTATTTAAAACTTTTCAGTATGATGGGATAAAGATTCTACTGGACATTAATGAGTTGAAGAAAAAAAGAGAAATTAATGGAATGAAAAAAGAGAAGGATAATTAATATAGATTTTACGAAATTTTATATTAATAAAATACCTTAATTATCACTAAACTATTTTATATATATTACTTTAGAAAAAAGATTTTGTTTTACTTTATCTATGGTTTTAGAAAATCATTCAAACATTAGATTCGGTATACTAACTTTACCTTGGTAATAATAAATGACAAGAAATCTAATATGATGGTAATGATATTTTTTAAGTATATATTTTAATTAAAAAGTAATTTATCAAATATATTACTTTTCACGTATAATCAAAATTATTTAATGACTTATTTAATTATTATTCAACATCCTTAGATAATAAATAAATAAGGAGCGGAGTGTGTATGGAAGGAGTGGAATAAATTGTAACCATTAAATGATATATGTGTAGACTGTAGTTAAGACCAAAATATAAAATCATGCGATTTTTAAACCATCCTTTTTTTTTTTGGTAGATGATTTTTAAACCATCTTTAAATCATGACCAAGTGATTTAGATTTTCTAAAGTACACATTACACTTCATAAGTGCAACTACTCATATGAAAAATCGGAACTCAGATTATAACAAATTCATATAATTTTTCATCCATGAAATTGAATTTTATCATGTTAAATATTGATTTCAATAAGTGGTTATCAACATTTAACTTTATTGTCTAAAATTCACTTTACAAGTGTGAAAAATATCTAATTATAAAGATTCAGTAGTAAAATTTTTCTCCTTTTTCATTTCAATAAGTGGTTATCAACATTTAACTTTATTGCCTAAAATTCACTTTACAAGTGTGAAAAATATCTAATTATAAAGATTCAGTAGTAAAATTTTTCTCCTTTTGCATTTCATCCTAAAATCACACTTTTACTTGATTAGCTAAATAAATATTTTCTGATTAGAAATTGCGCTAATCATTCAATGTCTTGATTTTTTTAATTAATTATGAGATTTTGTTAACAATTGTTTCCTATTTTCTTCTGAAGACATGAAAGGTATTACATATTTTAGGGTAGAATTGAATACTTGTTCTCTACAGTTCTCATATTTTTATTTTTTTTAAGTTCTGTATACTAAAAACTTATTCTTTATGTACTTATACTAAAACTTGTGGAAAACAATTCCTTACGTGTTTTTGTTATTAGCAAGTAGGGGTGTTAACGGGCCGAGCCGAGCCGAGCTTTGATCTTAACGGGTCAAGCCTGTATTTAAACGTGTCAGACTGGCCTTAGCCTGTTACCTGTTACGAATATAATATTAGCCTGTGGCCTGGTTCGTTTACAAAAAATAAAAGCATGTCTCAAGCCTGCGGCCTGTTTATTTATTAAAAATAAAAACTTTACCTTCCAATTTGTAGCAGTATTTAGCCTATTAATCATGCACTGATATGTATTTTTTTGTAAGAAAATAATAGTTGTTTCTTTTATAATAAAAAAACATTAATATTAAAAAATCAAAATAACAACAGCACCTTTACTTTATTTTACGTTACTTTTCCTTAATTTTCTTCCACATTCTAGATTTTTTACATTAAATTTTCTTCCACATTCCTT